TCCTTTATGAGCTCACACCAAATAGACAGAACCTCGCCAGACAAACCCTTTGCTAAAGCAACTATTGGATATACCCCGCAAGACTCTAGGGAGGGGCCAGTCTCAGCTTCTTCCTATTCTCACGGTCCTGCTGTGGGCTGAGGAAGCGCTTGCTCTGTAACCTTTGCTCCCCCTCCCTCCTGATAATCTTGATCTTCCATTCCAGTATCCTCCTCGTACATGCCTTCCATCACATACACTAATATTATAAGTTGAGAAAAGAAGCTATCATCTGAATCCAGAAGTTGGTTAATATGCTTAATTACTTTCCATCATAAAGTTGTTTTAATGCAACTTTGCTTCCTCTGTATTTCCCCCAGTACTGTGAATGGTGGCCTTACAGTTTTGCCACTTAAATTGATGGCCAGCAATTTCATAACCTCATGTTACGTTAATCACACTCATTTTAAGACTAAGAGTGAGGTAACATTATATTCCCTTTAAGTAATGTGCAGTTTTGTCCAACCAATTGTATAGCTTGCTGTTCACTTGAAATATAAACCCGTTGCCTTTCATAGGCTGACCAGATTAAGCATGATGTCAGATACATGAACATACCTCCCAATGTCTTTTGCTTTCACTAAAAATAGCTATTAGGGTAGGTAAGGAAAATATGGATCAGGATACTTACTCTCCTTCACCCTCCTCCCCACCTAATTCACCCGCTTCCCTACTATTTAATTTGGGAGACTCTTCTCAGTTATCCCATTCATTCGTGATAATTGATTAACAAAGCAGCTGAGAAAGTTGAAATCTGTCTATAGAGCTGAGGGGGCATTAAAAATAATCTTGCAACATTCTTAGGAATTAGAATGGGCAAAATACTATTTGTCTCTCCCCTTCCCTGTTTTCATTATGGCCTGCTAGCAATCATCTTTGTGATGAAATGGTAGAGTGTTGCTTTATTAAAATCCAAGTAAAGGGTTAACTGGACAGTTCCTAATAAGGAAGTCCAGGCAGGAAGTGAAGAGGACTTGGAGAGAGGGTAAAACGATAACAGAAAGGCAGAGTAAAAAGAGGGGAGGAAAGAGGAGACAATTAGTAATCATTAAAGAGAAACATTGGTGGGCCTTTGGGAAAAGTAAACTAATTTGTCTGTAAATAAGTACAGAGTTTGGCCTCTAAAAACGCACATGTTCGTATAATAAATAAAGTCTTAGTTATGATAAACAACTGATACTTTGACCAAATGGGAGAGAGTATAATAAACTCCCTTCTACATACCTAAAATATGATTGTGCCAAGAGCTGATAAGAGAGAACACCAGTATAAGGACATCAGGTTTCTCATTTTGGGGTGATAACAGTGAGAATTTAAACTGTACTGATTTCCCAAATAAACAAAAAAAATGGTACTTCATAATTTTACCATAGTCCCAGGGAGCGATACTAGTAAAACTGTTGATGGAACATTTCCTTCCTACCAATTCTATGGCACAGACACGAGTGCCTGAACAGAGCCTGGATATTGTGGTCATTGTGAAAAAGCCCCGCTGGTCCATCAAGAGGACCATCTCATCCGCCACAATGGCCACCATTGTGGCCTTGGGAAGCACATTGGCAAGATAGGGAAGCTATAGCCACCTCCTTTTACTCTCAGCAGATTGCAGCTAGCGGCACATTGGCTCTGCTCTGATCCTGGAGCAACTGCACATAACCATCGGGGTTGTAGATTTATCCTGACCTCAAATGCAGGAATCCACAGCCTCAAACCATGTAATAAATGTCTGAAAATAGCTGTACCTGGTAGCTGTCCAAGCAGCAGCAGCAGCATTTGCGGTAGCGATATAAAGGGTCTCTACCTTAGCATCTGGCTTCGGAGAGACACGTGTCTCAGCTGTCTTGGATGCCTTTTGAAGCTGCCCCATGGGGATGCATTTCCAGTGGCTTCTACAGTACAGCCAACAGCCTATTTGAAGGTAATAGGCTTCTGCTCCATTGTGCAGTGTTTAAAGCACAGCCTTAGGAACTCAGCTTAGAGATACTGTGGTCTTGGGTGTGGACACATTGGAGTGCTCCTGCCATCTAGTGGGGAAAAAGTGAAAGCAAACAGCTGGATGTGAATTAAGCAATTTCCCCCCCTTTGCACTGTAGATGTCCTACATTTTCTGTGCATCTCCAAATTTGAAATGAACTTTCATTTGGCTATACGCCTGTTATGTTTATATGTGATATGCAGCTGGATGGAAAACAGTGTAGTTTCATTTTAGTTGAACTGTCAGAGAAGGAGCCTAAAAGATCCCCCAAGGTAGGACTACTATCTAGAGAATTACTAAATGGCAAAGTAGAGTTGTTTGCATCTCTTTTCTGCCATCTAGTGATCATCCAGATCTTTGCACCTGAGAAATTGCAGCCCTTTAAAGCGTCCTGCCCACAATTCTGCCAACGCGGATTAAGTCCTGCAGTTTTTTATTTATTTATATTATGTATTTATTTAAATGTATTGGCTGCCCAACTCGTTTTTTGTAAGAAAACAGATCCAAATTCATTGAATGAGAGTATTAAATAGGTCAATGTTAAACTAATGAGAGATTCAGAACTAATGAGAAAAATTCAGAATTAGATTTCCCAAAGCTTGGATAGGCACATTGGAGCACAAGCCTACGTTGGATTAACTAGATCAGTGATTCTCAACCTTTTTGAAGCTGCCGCCCCCCTAAGGAGCGGAAAATGTTTCAACGCCATCCTTTGGGGAGCGGGGGGGGGGG